GTCTGCTGCAAGTTTTTGGTCTATATGATCATGTTGTCCGAAGCAAATAGTTCAGGCAGTTTCTTGGGGAGATTTGAGATTTCTTTCTTGAGCACTGAAACAGTTTCTTAGATTTCAATCACAATATTTAACATGACATTTTTAATGTATTATTTCTGGCTCTCAAAGAGGTTCACGTAAGGAAATGCAAAAATAAAGCTGAGCAGTGACAGCCCACATTTTCAACGGATTTGATTCCGGAAGTATTTTCCCCACTCATTTTCTCCTTAAGGATTTCAAATAATATGCCAATAACTAGTTATGAGCCTTTAACCAACTCAACTAACTACAAAATTAATCACAATGTGATTAGAAGCAAAAAGCATTTGAGAGTCAGAGAGGGAAAAAAGACTACTTAAATTGATTGTTCACCCACAAGTGAAAATGCTGTCATCATTTACTCACTCTTAAGTTTTTCCAAACCTGTATGAGTTTCTTTCTTCTGCTAAAGAAGATATTTTATGGAGAGAGAGAGAGAGAGAGAGAGAGAGAGAGAGAGAGAGAGAGAGAAGTCAATGGGGACCAGCAACTGTTTGATTACCCACATTCTTCAAAATATCTTTTTTTTTTGTGTTCAGCAGAAGAAAGAACTCAAACAAGTTTGAAATGACATGAAGGTGGGAAAATGATGTCAACATTTTTATTTTTAGGTGAACAATCCCTTTAAAGAAGCAATAAAATACACGTTCTATGAAGCACTGATGATGTAACTGAAAAAAAAAGTATAAAAAAAAGTATAAAATTATTGACTTGATTATAAAGGTAAAGGTAAAGTTTTCTTTAAAAAAAAAAAAAAAATATATACATTTCTCTATGGAAAATGAATGGGATTTCTCCTGTAACCTGCACTCCATACCAAACACTCACACACACTGCTCTGCCAAGGCCGCCATATCTGATAACTGCTCAAAAACATCCTACCATACTATATGTAAACCAGCATTCTCTCCAAGCATCATCTCTTTCTCCATCCATGAATATTTATCTATTTGACACTGTTCCAGGTGCCTTCTGGGGAAAAGCATTTGTGAATGTTGGTGACAGACTAAATGAAAGCGTGTATGTGTCTAAGCAGAAATCCAGTGATTGAAATTAGACCATCTGCAGGAACATTAAAAGGATTCCCAGTGAATGCATGAACTGATAAAATGTATACCTTGCAATGCAAGTCTCTTTGGATAAAAGCGTCTGCCAAATGTGACATTGTGAATTAAAAACTCCACAATCACCAATTATCTTAAAAATCTATGATCTTTTCACCTGGTCATATCATGGCTCGATGCACTGTAAATTTGATAGACAGACTAAAGGTATATATTTAACTCATGAATTTGTCTACCGTAATAAAATACATATGTGTAAAATGGTAGCGATATGCATCTATTTTGCAATAGTACATACATATGCATGAATGGCTGTTTCTATATAGAAAATATTCCATACAGTGCTGCGTCCCATGAGAGCTTTCATGGGTCATTGTGCATGTTTACACAGCAGCCCAAACTCTCAGCGAAGCACCGTCGTCGAAGCCGGTTCTCCGGTAACTACGTGAGGTAGCTCGTGGCGAGCAGCGCACTCATATATATTTCAGCTCAAGCAGATTGTTGAAGGACTTTTGAAACAGGAGATTTGAGATGACTCAACTTTCACTGCAGCCGTATAAACATTCACTGCCGCTCTGCCCGAGATCCATCAGTCTGCCCTTAGTGAAAGCGGCCATAAAAAAAATCCCCTCTGGGAACAGTGAGAACATATGAGAGTTCCAGCCTGGCAAGGACTAATATTAAAACAACGAAGCCCCATAATTATCATAGAATTCCAAAGAAGGCCGGCCCTTAATTAGGCCACACAGGATCCTCTTTATAAAGTATGGAAGTAATAAATAAGCCATTAGCTGGGCACTAAAGGCGCGAGAAATAAAACCCAGTGCAGGAGAAGGCAGAGATTGGCTTGAACTCAAAGACTGATGGTGAATGATATACTAAAGCCCCTGGGTCACAGATCTTCATCACTATTCTGAAACACAGCTCAGAGCTCGACTGGTTTCTTACTGCACTGTGATTTATGGGTCATGTGACCAGCTGAGGATGGGAGGCTCCGCCCACACCTGTTAGCTGATGTATGGCAATAGTAAACAGGTACGTAATACAAGCCATTGTACTGTTATTTACTGTTAGTCGTAATGCACCACTGGTTTACTCGATGACATCGGCATTATTTATCACTAATATCGCTCTCGTATCCAACATGCGGTCAAGCGTGGTCTTGTCAGGGCTGCTTTGGAGGTTGAGAAAAATCTCATATCTATGAAATTATGAAACCTCTCCTTTAGGAACCGTACAGTTTTATTAGTTTTACAACTGCTGCCGTTAACGAATGGCCGCCTTCACATAGCAAGTAAAAAACAGCAAACTTAATGGCTAACAAAGGAAGTCAGGAGCAACGCTAGGCTGATTATGGCAATAACTCTCACAGATACTAATTACAAATGGCTGTAAAATAAGTCAAACTGGTCATCCTAATGAGCACACCAGAGACCTATTGCTAAATTCCATTAAAAAGATCTATTCTTTCTCCTTTTTCTTTCCATTTTTTTCTGCGGCATCAGTGTCATGTTATCAGACGTAACACAACAAATACGGCATGTCTCTTAAAGGTCATTATGCAGTAAAAAGTTTCCTTAGGTAAATTATTAATGTAATTATCCAACTTAAAATTAAAACAGATATGAAAGAGAGGAAGAAGGAACCGCACAATGTCAACATATATAAAAGCACGTCCACATATTTCAAAATGGGCTGTCTTAAGCTTTGGCTAATTAAATGTATTTTAGACTGGATCAGAGAGATAGTTCCGCTAGCCCTACAAAAAGGGAGAGATGAATGTATATGCATACAATAACATTCAAAAGCTTGGTGTTAGTCGGGGTTATTTTTTTTTTTTTTTTAAGAAATTAATACTTTTATTCAGCAAGGATACATTAAATTGATCAAAAGTGACAGTAAATTATATTTCAAACAAATGTTGTTCTACTGAACTTTACATGATACAAAAAATGTATCATGGTTTCCACAAAAAAAAAAAAGTAATTGACACAACTATTATCAACATTGATAATAATAAGAAATGTGTCTTGAGCACCAAATCAGCAAATTATAATGATTTCTGAAGGATCATGTGATACTGAAAACTGGAACAATGGCACATGAAAATTCAGCTTTTTCATCACAGAAATAAATAAAATAAAATAAAATAAAATAGAAACTGTTTTTTAATGGGTTTTTTTCCCCCAATCAAATAAGTGCATCTTTAGTGAGCTTAAGAGACTTCTTTCAAGAATATGTGTCTTACTGACACCAAACTTTTGAATGGTAGTGAACACTTCATGTGTAAACAAGTTCAGAAAAGTATTTGGACATTCAAGACACACTTAAAGACACAAAATATGCTAGAGAACTAGCTTCACTTTTGCACTGACCTTAAAACAACTAGCTTAAAGGTCATATAAGTTACGACAGGTGACCTAGCATATTATACTGTATCTAGCACATTAAATAGTTCACTAACATTTTACATTAACCATTGTCCAAATAAAATTTTTTCATATAACATTGTTCTGTTTGTAAAGTATGCTTGTACTTACTTTTAATAAAAGAAATGCTTCTTGGTTTGCTTTTTTTGTTGTTGTTTTTGTTAATGTATGCAATAATAATAATCATACATTTTAAATTGTCTAAATACTTCTAGGGGCCAGTTTATGTCATATTAACTCATTTGCATTCAGAGTTCAAATGCTACAGAATAAATTTCCCTTGTTGAGTGAAAATACAAGTCCATTCTCCTCTGTATTGTCAGTGCACGGCTACAGAGAACAGAGCAGCTCCTCACCACCTCCACTAATGTGGGTCACGCAGCAAATGAGCGATTGCCTTTGCCATCGCAGCACCAAAACCATGAACAATACTTTCTGTAAAGCTCCATGAGGCTCCGAGCGTTAAAGTAAACCGCTCTAGGGAGACGTGCTACAGGCCGGTGAAGAATAGGAGGATAGGTGGTAGATTAAATTTATCTGAGGACGAGCCAAATCGACTGAAACTCTGACGGAACCCTTTTGCCGTGCCATCCTTCGACTGCCTGCAGTGGACTCTAGAGGACGCTGAGCTCCACAGGGTGGGCAGATTCTAATAAAAAGTAGTTGACATTTTAATTGCATTTTTCTCATCAAGAACTAATATGCAAGATGGGTCTGGCATCTCTTTGGAGAGCAATGTGGGTGATGTTATGATCGGTAATTTCTTTGATAAACACTAAGAACCCCCACTGATACGATCTCACAGCGAGCTGCTTTGTGTGGAAGCGTATCTCGGCTGCATTTGTTGCCAAGCCCAACTAATAGAGACATTTGATTGGAGCACAGTGCATGCAGAACGTTTTAGCTGTTTTAAAAAAGACACTACAGTATGCAGATGCACAAACTAATGTGGAAAGTTTTCAAATTCATATTGTTGTGCTAAAAGGATTTAGAATATTAATCAAGGCCAAGGAGAGCGAGGTCAAAGACTCAATTTAGTTGTTTAGTATTATGCGCTAAAGCTTGTCACGCTAAATGAAACCATGTCCAAATCATGTAGCGCTGTAAAAAAATGAAGTGCTCTTAGCGTATATAATACCTTTATTGGATTATTTTGTTACACTAATCTGTGAAGAATATAAAGTCAGATTAGGCAGCTGCCCCCCGGTGTGACAGTCACCAAAGACCTCTAAGATTGTCTGTATTAGCGTTTCCCAGAAGGCCACGCAGTGCCGTTTAAAGACATAATGGTTTTCAATTAGGAGTTTTATAAACATTGTAAACTAAATGTCTTTTTCCACTCCTACATTTTAGGCATTTTATTTTAGACGGAGAGAATGTCATTGCTGTGTTTACGCTGAAAAGTTTGAGAAACAAGCAGCAAGCTTTTTCTCATGACAACTATCCAAGAAGCCACCTGGATTAGCTCTGTTGGGCACAAACACACTCATACACTCAAACTTCAACATTACCAAGTTGAAATGAATTGAGTAATTTACCATCTGGTTGATGCCATAATTTCCTGCAAGGTTGTTAATTGTTTCTCATCACACACCTGCTCATATCCACTCGTATCCGATTTGAAATATCAGTTTTCATTTAATCATTTGCATTTTTCCATCAATATATCCTTTTGAAAGAAGACATGAACGTTATTTGTTGTTTAACAGAGCGCAGCTTCTCTATGAAGGCGCGGAAAGTGATTTATCGTGGTTTCAGGGTTAAAGGTGTAAGCACATTCCAAGGGGCTCCCAAACGGATTAAACGGCAGTAAAAAAGAGAGGTAATTGGAACTAGTCGGAATTGCTACAAACAAGAACTTCTTCCCTCAGAAGCTTTAAATTTACTGTTTGAATGGCAGAAAACTCAAAGATTTTTCAATTACCAATTTTCTGCGTACTTCTCTTTTCTTTTTCTCTTATGCATTTAAATTGGATATGATCTCGGAGGAAATGGTTATCATTTTAATGACACTCTCCATTCATTAAAGGCTCCAGATCTCCAGCCTTCGCACTCTCAGGGGGAGCCGCAGAATAAGAGCCAGACTCAGAGAAAGAGAGAGAGACGCTCCGTTCAATTACCTCTGTGTTGGCCCTTCCTCACGGGGCCCCGCTGTGTGGCCCTTAATCCTATCCTAAGGAGTCAGACCCAGGTGCGAAGAGAACTAGAAGCAAACAAAAGATTTTAAGTGATTTTTGCGTTCACTTTTACAACAGGACAAGCACATAAGAATGAGATATGTTTGTTTTGTTTTCAGTCAATGTATCTTAACATCCTTAAGATCAATTTACTTGAAAACCAAAACTGCAAAGGATATCAAAAATTATTTTTAAATTATTTTCTTATTAAAAAAACAGTATTTATTAATAATTCTTTTCCACTATCAAATTCTTGTTTATGCTTAAAACAAGGAAACAAATACATTTTAAAAGTAAATTTATCTTGTGTTAAATATGTTTTTTTTTTTTTTTTTGGAAAATACAGACAATAATACTTTTTTGGCAATGTTGTTTTTTATACTGTTATAACTGTGTGAAATAGGAGGTATGATCATTCTGATAAAAATGAAATAATTGACTGAGTTACCTCATTGAGAGAAATGAGAATCATTTGGCTTTAGTCTTTGTGGGCCTCATTAATTGGGTTAATCAGATGATTTCAAAGAGAATATAAGATCAAATATCAAACATGTTCAGCTGTCGTGATACACACAAAACGCGTTCATTCGTTTGTTCCTCTAAATTTCCTCCTAACACAAGTTGAATAACATCAATGCAAAAAACACACGGCTGATCCTTTGTAATTTGCATTTTAAGGCATGTCTTTAAGTCTGCAAATGTGTTCTTTTTGTAAATAAACCTACACGCCAGATTTCCACCTCACCTCAGGGGCAACAAAGCAACGTGTTTTAAATGGGGAGAAGAAACAACATTTGATCAGGGACTAATCACAAATTTCACTCTACGATGCTTTTAATATTTCAAGTTCCTAAGCAATATGCAAATAAGAACCGCATTAATCGTCGGGTGCATTAGTAAGTCAAGGCACACAACGCGGCTTCGGAGATCGGCTTTATTCATTGTGTAATTAGGACCCAAATGTTAATGAATTATGCTAATTCGGTACAATTAGCATATAATATTGAAGACAATCAACAATTAGCATATGCTATTGGAAACAATCAAAAGGGCTGCATTCCCATATGGATCTCGCACCCTACATATAGGAAGAGGCCGCTATGGGGGACGTGGAGGGGGTATGTGAATTATAGCACTTTCTTCCTCTCATTCTCTCTCTCTCACCCCCCGCGTGGAAGACATGACCTCTATAACACAGCGAATAATGTGTGTGTGAGAGAGCTAGCGGTTAAGTCTGTTTGTGTTTGTGCACATACAGTGGGGCCTAAAATCTGAGTGAAAATAATAATTTTTCACATTTTTCAGTGCAATTTACATTATTGGCATTAAAGGCACAATATGGAATTTTCGCCGCTAGAGGGTGCGTATTCAAAATAAATAAAGAGGCAAAGGCGTAGTTTGATGATGCCGTGACTGAGTGTGGAATCATGGGAGTTGTCGTCTTCATCCACACAG